GCTGTCAAAACAGCTCATGTTCGGCTCGTTAAGATGCTCGTGTTTGGCTCTCTAAGTTAATGAGCTGAGCCAAGCACGAACAACATGAACAAATATTTGCCCGTTCGTGTTCGGCTCATTTTGACTCGAAATATTATTAATCAATTATATGTGTGTGTGTGTGTGTGTGTGTGTGTGTGTGTTTGTGTGTGTGTGTGTGTGTGTGTGTGTGTGTGTGTGTGTGTGTGTGTGTGTGTGTGTGTGTGTGTGTGTGTGTGTGTGTTTTTAATGAGTAGTATTTTTAAAAAATTTAATTGACTACAACTATTTGTTCGTGAACAGCTCGTGTTCGGCTCATTAAGCAAACGAGCCGAACACTAACACACTTTTTGAGCTCGAAATATAAATGAGCCGAACACGAGCGAGGTGTTCGGCTCGTTTACACCCCCAGTCGTGCTCTCCTAGCTCACTCCAAACCTTCCCCCCTTCATTTCCACTTGAAACAACGATTTTAGCACTTTACCTCATTAATCGCCTACCTTCAAAAACCACCTTACAACTTTCACCATATCAACTGCTACATGGAAAACCCCAGATTACAGCCACCTACGAACGTTTAGATGTGTCGATTTTCCCTAGATTCCATCATGTCAACGCAAAAAACTACAACCAAGAGTCGTCCCTTACATTTTTCTCTAATATTCTAAAAATACAAAGGGCTAAAATGCCTTGATCCTACCACCTTGAATATACAAGATCTGCACCTTCCAAGTTCTCCCCAGCCAAAACTACAATGGGTGTCGGTGTCTTCGCCGCTTAGACATTTTCAGGGTGAGCGACGGCCCAAGTCTCCTCCTTGGCCGCAGGAGCAGCAACTGTTGTCTCCCTCACAGCCTTGGGAGCATCGGAGGCCTCCCAGTCCTCTTCGGTCATTTCACCAAAGGCAACCAACTAAAGCACCCTGTTAGCAATTGTCAACTCAAAGTATTGATGAATCAAGAGTCGATGCCCCTCGATTTTGTTAGTTTCCAACCATACCCTGGTCAACGCTTTTCTCTTTGCTTTTGTCAGGGCTTCGCCAAAAAAGGATAATTTGGATGAACCACCCCTGCGAGGAGGAACCCAAGTAGAATCGGAACTTCCAATCCTTTACTTTATTCTCCAGCCCCAATAGCTGGAACTTGCCAACTGACAAAAACGACATGAACCCTTCCAGAGCAACTCAGAACGGAAATAAATGCTAAAGAGGTCAATGGACCATGGGATTCCCTATGAGTGATACAAAACGACGAAGGTCATGATGGTTTCGATGGAGTTGGGCTTAATTTGGGCGGGGATAACACCATAGTTGGCAAAGATGGAACGCAGCTCGGAACAAAGGAGCAGTTGAAGACCAAATCAAAATTGATCTTTATAGAAGAGGAGATCGGCATCGCATAGAGAGGTAGCTTGATCAGCCTCACAGTGATCAAGAGAATGATTGTAGGATTAAATACACAGGTCAGCTACATCAGATCGACTTCACCCTAGGTTATCCATGATCAACAGTTCTGGGCGACCGACCCGAAATCTTGGGGAGGATAGCAAGGAGGCATCGAGCAGAGCACAAAAATAGAGAATTTCAAGAGCGAAAGAAATGGAAATTGGGCAAAATAAGCATGATCTCACCAAACCTGCACACACACGCGCGCATACACACACATAATATATAGATATATATATTAAGGAAACAAAGAAATTCCAACTGTCGTACAGGAGTTAAAACATAATTCAATAGCAGTTTCCAAAATTAGTTGATAGTGGAGTCACATCAACACAGAAAATGAGACAAAAATGATTTTATGTCGAAAAAGACACAAGTTACAATAATTGTCAAAAATTTATCCAAAAGAAAATACTTTACAAGGGGATCAATCGCGACTTCGATCGAGATATGCCTCAGATTAAGTAACCTCTTAAACAAGAATTTCACTCCATACCTAAACTGACCCAGGTGATCTGACTCAGCTTGGGCATGGATCATCAGGGATCTCTCCCGAATGTCTGATTACTCCTAGCGAAGAGTCGCCACCTCTTCCATCCTCCACCTTCTCCACATGAGCTGACAACTAGCACAATTCCTTGCCCCATTGGATTTTTTGCGACCGAATAAAGGAACTCTTAATTTTGTTCAGATGACAGCAAGCAACCCAGGGGACGTCTTGAGTCGGTTAGCTACATCCCTACGTCCTTCAAGAGGGACGTCGTAGCAATCAACTCCATCATCCTTGCTCGAGAGTCTGTCGCCTTCGTCTGGCGACTGGTCTGTTGTCACTAACGCCTAGTCTGCTATCACTAACTCCCCGGTCAGTTTCTTACCTACGTCGGTCGGCACCGAAATGTCATCCAAGATTTTAAAGCCGGGTCATTTGCACCAATAAACATTGTAAAATAAAAAGGATTTTAGAAAAAAAAATTCAAATCCCTCAAACAAGGTCGAAGCCCCTCTTACTAAGAAGAGGAATCCACTCAAATATCATAATCGACGTGGCCCCTCAGCATCAGGCACCAGTAAACACGGTGTTAGGTCACTAAAAGCCATTTGAGTGATCAGGTCAACCAGAGGGACTTGTGCCACAGCAAAAGGTTGAGCAATTAGATCAATGATTGGGTCAGTCAGCTGAACATTCCTCTGATTATTGATCTAGGAAAAAATTAGATGACTCCGCCTGATCCAGCAATATGAGTGCAATTGTCATCTTCTTCAAAACAACTTCTTCCTCTCATTTTCCAAATAGCCCCGCCCTTTCGGTGTCTCAAAAGAAAAATGAAACAGGTCTTTGTTGAAGACATCACCACGAGTTTTCAATGGGTTATCCTTTGCAATGCTCAACCTTGAAAGATAGTCGATTCAACTGAGAGAAGATGCAGAGCAAATAATGAATGGGAATGAGTCTCATCTCGCCCCATTTATAAAAATCAAAGAAAAGAAAATCAAGGGGTTCAATTATTAAATCATTAATTAAAAATTGAATGCGATCAATTTTTGTAATACATTTTCTTATACTTATTGCAGCGTCTCTTTTAAGAAGTAAAGAATCAGAAAGTTAAAATACGTACATTAAAAATGTGCAAGCACTGATCTTAAAGATATCCAACGGTACAAAAGAAAGGGGTACAACAAAGGCTGAAGATCATAGGACCCACTTGACTCATCGAGCAAAGTCATATGAGTCAAGCCAGCGAGACCAAACAGACTGAACAATTAGGCAGACAAGACGACCGGAGGATCCGAGCACAAACCATTGGGCTAGCACAAGAACAAAAGAGCATCTAAGTCATCCACTACAGGAAAGTCGACTCGATGCAATAGCCTACCCTCCAGTAGAACATAATCAAAATAAGAATTAATTCGACAACATCTCCAACCACCCCATGGACACCCCAGAAGCTCCTCATCAGTGATGAAGGATCGACAACCAAGTCATATCAACTAGTCAACTCATGCCAACCAAACTGATCTCATCGACCCGAAGCCAACTGAACTTAGTCGGCTGAGCCAAAAAAGTAGTCAAACAACAAATCTATAAATGTAAAATACCCAGAAACCACTAGTACGAACCCCTTTTAAAAAGGAGGTAAAAATGTAATATTATCATTGTACTCTCTCATCTATAAGTAGATGAATCGATTTAAGAATAGGACGATTGATTATTGTTTATTTTATCAGTATCTCACCTTATTTAATGTTCATTCTCTCTCTATCTCTCCTTATTTCCGCTCAAATCAAGTCAACATTTACATTTTTTAACTTGGAATTTAAACTTCTTGCATTTAATTTGCTCTTGAGGAGATATGAAGGAGATTACATTGGCTAGTTGGGAGTGATTTTTTTTTTTTGTTTCAATGTTTAAATTTCTTGCATTTATTAACTTGATTTGAATTTTTCAATTTCATTTGTTCACATTTAGGAGAAATATCTTTAATTTAATGCATTATGCCATTTTGAGACGCAAACCTAAATGATCAATTATTTATATTCAAATATAATCCTTTCTAAACTAAATTTAATGCTATGTAATTCAAATTCAAACATGCAATTATCTAACAAATATATAACTTATTCAAATAAAATAAATAAACAAATCAAGAATCCTAATTTAATTAAAATAATTAAAATAAATCCTTAAATAACCTAAATTAAATTTCCTTTGTTCCACAAATATTTAACAAGATGAATATGTTATATTTTGATAAATGCAACATGCATAATGCACAAGAAAGGGAAACCTTCCCAAAATTTTATACAATCAACTAATATCTAATGCAGAATTTACAAGAAATAGCTGGTTTAATTATGATTCAAACCAATAAAATCAATTTTTAAGTGTATATTATGCAAATTAATTGTTTATATTCCCCATAAAACCTTTTTTTTTAAGGGTAAGTTTTTGTTTAATTTCACGCAAAACACAGCCTCAAAATAAAACAGGCTTTGACCAGACCTAAATAATGGGCTCATTATAGACATAATTAGATCAATTATCATATGATATATCTGAAAGTAGATTTAAAATTTCGTTGCAGCACAGTGCTTGAAGGATAACTGTGTTCTGAATTTGTTTGGTGCAAATCAATCTAGCAGATTCCAGAAAATTGGAGCAAGCCTTTGCTGAGTTTAGGTGCTACCATACTTATAGAAGCAAGAATGTTAAATATCTTTGTTTGATGGAAGCATTACTCAGAAATTAGAAGAACTTCATTAAAAAAAATCAAAATGATCCCCAACTATTTGCACAAAACCAACATGATCCCAAACTATGTAAAAGAACAATTTAGCCTTCAGACTATTCAAATAATAATTAAAATAATCCCCAGACTATTTAAATAGGGGACAAAAATAATCATGTTGGGAGACCATTTTGGTTTCTATTTAAATAGTCTAGGGGAAAATTTTAGGATCATGTTGCGCCCGTGCAAATATTTGAGGACCATTTTGATCATTCTTCCAAAGAACAACCATACATGAAATGTATTCTTACCAAATAAAATCTTTTGCTGGTACTGCTGGGCACCATGATAGATACAAATGAAGGCCTATCTGTTTGAATTGTATCAGCAAACCTGACAACTACATTCTTCTCTACATCCGTAAGACGCGCTTTCTTTGAAATGATGAAATCCATAGGATCACCCTGTTCAGTCAAAGAGACTTCATCGCCACCACTGGTTGTCCCTTCTATAACAGCACTTTCTTGTTCTGAATAATCAAATGATGAAAAAAATAAAACAAGAAAGTCAAAATTACTTTCCTTCAAATTTCACTTAAAAATCCAAAAGAATAATTTACCAAAACCCACCATTTAAGGAGTTCTTTCTCCTCGAACCGGCAAAGTGCTTCTTACGTCTAGGAACGCTTTTTGTATCCTTTCTCTTCCTGAAATGCTTCTCTTTCACATCTTTGTGTGCCCTTGAGGTAATTCTATCCACAGTTAAAGGATTTGGTTGCTCATAATTCATGGAAGAACTTCTATTGCTATGAAGTCTGGGTTTCTTGCCAGAAGCTATAGCACATAATTCTTCCATACGATCCTTTCTCATTGAACAATGAGAAGCAACTTTCTCACAGCCGCTTTGCTCAAACATCAACACAAGAAAGGAAGAACAGCCATCATATTTAAACACCAAAGTGTCATTTTCTAGAATACCATGAGCTGCAACAAAATTCCTCCAGCCACAATTAAGAACAACTCCATCACAAGTCTTCTTCAATTCAACATGCCATTTATCACCACTTAGGACCTTGAGCTCAACAGTTTCAAGAAGTTCACCCTTAAATCGTTCTATAAACTTCTTTGGTAAGACCTGGAGTACGATTAAGCGCGCCAGAAATGAAGTCAGGAGATTAGAACTCACCTCATTGCAAAGTGGAATACAATTATGAATTCTATAACATATAAATGTTCAATACTATGAAAATCATTTGACTTCTCATGTTCTGAAACTATCCTTCATTATGATGCTCGACTTTTCAGTTAAAAAAAATATTTACATACATAATAATTAAAATTATCCTATTTACATATTTAACATCCAAACCTTCATATTTAATAAACTATAATTTTTATTTTGTTAAATTCTGTCCAACATGACCACCTTTCTTACCTCCACTCGCTCCTACTTAAATCTTGAACCTTTGGCTATGAGAAAGAGGTGAAGGATCTAGGTAAAGGACATCACAAGGCATTTGAAGTATGAACTCGAAGAGAAATAAGAAATGACAATGTCACAACAATGTTCTCGGGGACCGATTGTGTGTGATGGAGAAAATAAATTAACGATGATCGCCCATTGTGATGCAAAGTTAATAGTGACGGTGTGGAAGATGATATTTTTTATGTCATTTAAATAATTGAGTATTATTTGAGTAAATATAATATTTTTAGTTTTAAATATGTAAATTGGCTAGTGTTAGGTGTTTAGTATAAGTTGCTTGTAAAAAACTATTTTACGCTTGCACATTAAGAAAAAAAATATTTGATTTGGATGCATGACTTAATTATTAATTAGTTAAGTGTGGATAAGAAGCCCTTTGTTTTCCATCATAAAAAATTAATATAGTGTATCTTATGCACAAGTATAAGCCTTGAAGCATCATAAATGAAGAAAAAGATTCATATATGACTTCCCAGTTTTCTATTTTAGATTTCATATGAATTCAAGAGTTCAACTAGAATGATTTATCATAACAATGTTAACCTACGCATATGAAACATAATGATATGTGAGTCGAGCTCGATCGAAGTTAAATTCAACGATAAATATGAACATGACAGCACAGGAATTAAACCCAAACAAGTCGATCGATATCAAAATCACCCAAATATCAGTCATTCACAAAATATATGTGGTAACGTTCAACGCATTGAAAATATCCAAAATTTAAGCCCATGTTGAGTCCTCATATGAATCTAATATGTGAAATTAGCCTTGGTTACACACATAATTAAAATTTTAAATCATATTTGTTACATGTTCCCATATACCTACATGTTTGCAATTCAACTTGGATTTTACTAGTATCAATCTCAACCCTATCGCTCACTATCATTCTTGTTGTTTCACGAAAGTTGTCCAACATCACATAAGTCCCCCTTGCCACTCCTCTCCCTTGGCACACCACTTCGTGATCTCCTTCATTCTCTGCTCTTCAAGTCCCACACACCCCCAGCCTTCATTCCGCTCCCGCTTATCCTGAACTCCTCAACTCTGCCCGTCTTCTCTTATTCACGCACACCGTAGTCCACAAGCAACCCAAATTCCTTTGACAGTTGGCCGACAAGAGATTGTTTGGACAAAAGAGCACTAGTTTTGAATATCCTTTGATAGTTAGCCGGCAAGAGAACGCTAGTTTGAGAATTTTATGACATCAAGTGTGAGGAGAGGTGAGTAATTGGCAACGGAGGTTATAGCTTGCGAGTTTCAACATGGAGGGAGACATGAAAATAGCACTTTGTGCAGGACAAGCAAGTGGGAGAAAGCAGGGCATCTCCCGGGATTGCGAACTAGTTTGGTGCACAAAAGGAGGAGGGTGGTTGTTCTAGGTTTTAGTAGGGATATGATTTGGTGGGAATTTTTTTATTAATTTAATAATAAAATATTACTCAATAAAGAAATTATTTGTGTATCAAATTTTACTCTTATAGTTTAAATTAGCATTATCACCTTCATGTCATTGCTTTGTAAAGCATGCAATTTCTCAAAGTCCATGCTTGCACTTACGTGTCGTCGACTTATGTGCAGGGCCACAACAATATGAGTATCATTGTTCAGTAATTTTGATGTTTAGATGATTGGCAAACTCTGTTTTGCGATCAAAACTTGTTTAGCAACTTCAACGACCTTCAAAATGGTCGGTTCTAAATCAGGTGTCACACTGATAGTTCATCTTTTTCATCATATTTTGTCGTTTTGTTTATGGAAAGTCTCTCATGATGTAATTTTGATGCTTAAAATGCATTAGCGACATCCATTTTACAAACAAAGATTGTTTGAGCAGCCTCGACAATACTCAAAGTGAATTAGCCTTTATTTGTGTATCATCGTATTCATTTTTTAGCAATTTTTACATATTTAATTTCATCGCCCAGCTACGTAGGTGTGAAGGTCAATGCTATTCTTTAATTGCCATTATATTAAAGCATTAATTTTGTTATTCTCTTATTTATTTTATTTATTAAAACAAATAATTCTAGAATATTTTACGACCAACTTAGTCCAGTGGTTGAGTGTCTTTCTCAAACCACAAAGCCTTGAATTTAAGGTTGAGCACATACGGGTATGCGCATGAGTTCCAAAAAAAAAAATTTTGAATGAAAGATCACAAAAATCATATAAACTTTGCACTTAAAACAGCAAGAATACTTTAATATGACTTTTAAAAAAAAGACAAATGCACTTACAATAATGTTAAATACTTGAATTTATATTTTTTTGGATATTTAAGACAATTTATTGTCGATGTAGCACTATAAGAAGAATGAATACAAAAACAAAATTGATAGAATTTAGTGTGAAGCAACCAAAAGTTTGCTTACAAATTTTGAGAAGAATTATTTTGAGAATTAGAGAAGTGAGAAAGAAGGGAAGAGGAAGCAAGGTTTAAAAGTGAATGGGAATAAAAATGAAAGAAAGAAGAATGGTTTAATAATCAGAGTATGCATTCAAAAAGTTACAAAAGCAATAACCTTAGCAGCCAATGGTAATATACCATCATAAGCTTTTGCAAGTTGAAAAAGTGATCAAAAGTTGTCTTTTGGTCAAAACATTTGCGTATTGGAAGAGGTTCAAAAAAAGATTACTAGATTTAGTAGAGACTAATACCACATAGACACCTACATGGCAATAGTCACCGACTAAATCTGTGATTGGTGTATCTCATAGTTACAAACCTATAAGACTTGTCCTTATTTAAATTTTTTGGTGCAAATATTTTCATCCTTATATATTATTATGAATTTATTTTCTAATCATCTGCGATCATGAATTTTCAACAATTACTAAATTTATTTATCCATCTTTACAACACATTTATCTTATAATATAATTTTGGCAATACTCAATTTGCATGCTTGTCTGATAGTTGTCTTACATTTAGATCCAACTATCAAATTGTTTTTATTACTATTGTTAAGATTCTTTTCAATTAGTATAAATTGTATAGTCTTATTAGTGAGAACAAATTTGCTTCTCACCTTCTAGCCATACAATTTCATTCCTACTAATCAAACCTCCAACAATGGGTTTTCAAACCATTATTTCACTCTTTAGAATTTAGACAACACATATCTTAGCACTCATTTTGATTGCACTAAACTGACATGTCTTCTTCACTATCCTACACAATCCAAACAGCATAAACTTCCTCTTATTATTGCTTGTCAGATTTTTTCTTTAATGGAAATAATTTGGTGTCACCTCTGGGAATTGCTTGAATTTCACTTTTAATAGGACAATTTACTACTTCCAATCATATCTCCGTTCAATGTTATTTTCATGATTAAGAATATACAATCATGCATATCTAGATTTTGCATTCTACTTACTCTTGCTCCTTTAATAGGTTTTATACTTCAATTAGTTTTGCACCTAAATAAATTATTGTTTCACCAAGTCAAACTTTAACATGTGTCAAACAGAGTAGCTAAAGAAGCTAGTCAAATTTAAAATAATACAACTTTTCAACACTTTTGGCACTAGCTCTCGCCCGAGCGACATAAGGAACCAAAAAATAAATTAATAAATAGAAAAAAAACTTATTTCAATCATGAGTGATGCTTTGGGAATATATAAAATAATGAGCATCACACTGAAAAAGTTAGAAAAAAATTAAATTTTCATGCTACATTCGTCTCTATATTTGAAAATCTTGCTAAAAATTATCATTGACAAAATAACCAATACGTATGCTAAAAAGAAACTAGACAATTAAACAATATAAATTTGTAGCACGCGAAACCTAAAGACATTACAATCTTCATCACCTTTATTACATCTTCATTATCATCCAAGTTCTCTTATACAACATCGGATCTATAGCTCTTTATTCCCTCATTTATTTCATCAAACTCAATCAACATATTGTTCAATGTTATTAATGTAGGCATTCTAGCAATGAGATTAGATCTAACTTGTTCTCCAATACATATTCATATTTTTCAAACTCTTGATGCTCTTTCCCGTACAGCATGGCTGCTCGTTAAGACACTCACCTAACAACTCTTTAGCATTGGTGTGCATTTGAGAAGTGTATGAGAAACTATGATCTCAACTCGCTTAACTTAATCTCCTCGATAAGCCCCCCCAACTTGACCATAATAGCAATAAGGTAAACAGCATACATCAAGCTACTCTGCTTTATTGCAGAAATACAGCAACTATTACTATCCACGTCAAAATTCTAATCTTCTTAATTTGTTTACAACTTTGAAATTACCAGTTCCGCTGAACAAAAATTGATAATCACAATAATGATAATTGAATTTTTTTTTCTCTTCATGAAAAGAAACTCAAACTATTAAGGCTTGTTTGGGATGAATTTTATTTTCCATTTATTTTAATAACATGTCATGTAATTTTAGAGTTTAGAAAAAACTTGAATTATGGAGGTCAACTTTAGAGTCTAAAGTCTTTCGTTTGAGTAGATCTAAAACTGAGTACATGGAATGTAATTTTAGTAGTAGTAAATCTAGTTGTGGGATTGTAATAATAGGTGAACGTTTTAGATAACTCAAGTCTATTAGGTGAATAAAAGTACCGATTAGACTTAAAGAAAAATTTTATAAGATGGTGGTGAGACTTGCAAT